AACCGACGCAGAATGCAGCTTTCCGAGCTCTTGTTAAATTAGATGCATGCACCGTTTTGACCCCAAAACCACTTCCAATTGTCATTAGAATGGTCATATAACTATGGGGTGCCTGAAGCAATCTCTACATTGCATGGCCAAGATGATTGCGTGGAGTTACCACACCGCCTATATTCTAGGCAATTGAATAATCGATTTCTATCTGAAATTCTTCGTTTTTTTGTTTTTGAAACACATTGACAAAGTTTCATTGCAACGCTTAACCTAAAATTATACGAACCTAGGTTTTGCCAATCATTAGTTGGAAAGCCTTTTGAATTTAAGTGTATCTAATTTATGCGCATATTGCTTTCACGAACGCGAGTAGTACTTATACTAATTGTGTCGGCTGGTTTAAATGCAGACTGATTTATCACCGCGTTGGATGGAATACATCCATGATGAGGGTGTGGTGAATCTACACAGTGTGGAGGGAAGCCAAAGTGCGATGGAAGTGCGAACGCAACATACCAGTGATGAATACTACGTGGACTGGGGTGCGGACGTGCCGGTGGTGCATCATGGCGCGCCATTGGGTCATAGCAGCGCGACGCTCGGAGGCACTGCCGACTTCTGGCGCCCCGTGGCATCCGAGTTCTGGCACCAGGCTGTGTGCATGCGACCAGCGCTGCGTGTTCACGTGCGTCTCCGCTTCCTCTACCCCCGTGCATCATCTGATCTCTGCGTCCTCGCTCTTCCCGCTCTCCCTGCGCCTCTTGTCTCCATCGTCTGTATCTTCGGATCTGGCGACCAGACTGCAACATATAGGCTCTTTGAACGCTCTATCCCTTCTATCACTCAGTATGCTGGTACCCTCACCGACATTGTCATTCTTACTGAGGTAGTTATTTTTAAACTTAAAGACTGTCATTGAGGGAAGTCGATTTATCGACAAGCGGAGTTGGACATCTTTTAGTTGGACCTTGGAGCAGTGGAAGCTGAGGAGAGGGAGAAAGAGCAGATAGCTCGTTTAAATGGAAGGCGTCTCTGCTTCAGCTATCAAAGCCGCCAAAAAGGTCCTCAAATCACCACGACGCAGGACATTTTACCGCAGCCGCTAGACGATCAGTTACTACGCCTCCTCTCTGCCTGTCCAAACGTCTCCTCTCTGAGCATTGGAGGACGGCTCCTTAATATTCATCTCACCACAGCCAGCCAAATCTGTCGACTCCTTGTAAAGGCGGCTCGCACCAAACCGAGGAGTGGCGGAAGCGCAAAGAAACCCCCGCCTCCTGTGTTGCGTGTCGACGTAGGGTCGATACGCCTTAGCGGTCCCATTCCACAGTCTGCAACTGAGCGTGACTCCAATGTGTTTCTCGAGCTGATGCGCGACTGTCGGGGCAAGGAAGTGGAGACACTTGTAGCGAAGGAGCGCGCAGCCGAATGTCTGATTGCTGCCGCCCTCGGCAGTCCGCGGTGGCAATTCATGGAGACCGATGAGTTTCGGCGTCATGTTTTAAACTACCCTGCTGCCTAGCTTCGCGTGCATACGAATTTGCACCCACACACACGCATATATATACTTATGTCCCCTTCCCTACCTTTCTTACCATACCAGGTCATAAACACTTTCATCAATGCCTTTGTTTTTGTTTGCCATCTTCGTTTTTATTAGATTGACACGTTCACTGATGGTGTGCATCTGTTAAGCTTGACTTTTCGCTGAGTAGTTATCTCATCTACAAACTAGTTATTTAGTGGAAATTATTTTTGCTGTGGTACGAATATTCGCGCAAGGAAATAGCAATTGGACTTCTGTTGTCAGTCTCTATTGGACCTAGACAGTTGTCTGAAGCCGTTAATCCAAGCAGAAAATCAGCACACATCAAATATCCCACTAGTCTTGAAGGCATGAAACGTGGTAGAAGGCTTTACATTGTGCGGGTCATGCATGGTATTGGATGTTGAAATTACAAAAAAAGGGTTAATGGCATAGTGCGATGGTCTAGTCTTCGTTTGTCTGTGAGTCTTACCACGTGGACAGTTCTGTCTACCTAGATTCCATTTTCACTGGCATTGCCATCGAGGCTATGGAAAGAGTACCCGTGCTTCTTCATAATGCGCTTTATAAGTGCTTTTCTCCATCTTTTGCTTATCGTTATCGAATAACGAGCCTGAAAGCGGGATAAAGTGCGATTCACAAGGGCAACCTTCCCAATATCTACCACCGAATATAACTTTGAGAGTGTAAGCTGGAGCCTGATGAGGAGAGGCGAACTTTTCAACAATCTTTCCAGGGGAGTCGAAAGTGAGAAACGGCTTCGATACTCACAATCGCATGTGCTGCAAGAGAGTTGGTAATAGTCGGGTGCGTACTGGTAATTCTTTGTTTATTTGACTACCTGCAAGAATGACGATCACTTTGGCTGACACCCTGCTTCTGCCACGCAGGCTGGCCCTCGGACCAAGCCATAGCCCCTCTTCTACACTTTCTGTCTGAATATAAGTACTCAGCCATGTTCAATACTCTCTCCCACCTAATGTGAAGTCTCAGAACGTTGCAATAGTTACGTGCGTCTCACTGATGTTTTGAGTACTGTGGTCTATTCCGTTCGATACGAAGACATCACATGTTGGTTGGATAAGAATAGTAGTCCATCCCTGCAGTACCTTGCTTTCGTGACTCTGTATGACTGGCGGACATTGCGGTGCTTGTCCTTGTGCAAGTGGGCTGGTCTTTGGGCTAGGCCAAGACCTGACCTCTCTTCTCTCCCGGCAACCGTGCATTCTGCCCCATTTGATCCTTTTATCTACTTGTTGTCAAGTCTCGAGACACTACAGCTCCGAGATGATAAATGAAAATCTAATTAAAGTTACAAATAAGCACTGCACTAGGTGGGAGGCGTTACGTTGGAACTAATTGCATGTCCACCTATAGAAGGGCAAGACAAACGCCAAAAGTAACTGCTAGACATCAGGTAGTCGCATAAACAAAGCATTGCACTGCTCCTTTCTTCCATTGAGCGACTTCCTCGGCGCTCCCTTGAGCGCACCAACGCCAGCCATCACAACATATCTGATGCTACGACGAAACACCTATAAGTCAGCCGCACCAGTCCTCAGCTATCGTGCGACTGTAGGATTGCAATTTATTTCTGGAGTTACGATCTAATGACATCTAAATGCAGATAAGGAGGATTACGATACGAAACTTTTCTAGATGTTTTACGATGATGTCGCTTCAGTTGTTAATAGCTTGCATGCGGAACACGAGGCCATGATGGAACCAAAGGCAGACATCATTCTCAAAACTTCTGCTGTGAATGACTTCGAGAATCACGTGTACGAAGTATTCGCGCTTCTTTGCATCACAGAGTAACTTACAAGCGATAGACACCAGAATAGAAGTCGTAATGATTTAGAATTCGCTTTTTTGTCACTATCGACGTAACGCCGCAAGAGTTCCTGCTAAGCAGGTGAAGGGAAGAAGTTTGACTGTAAACACGCGTTCTAGGCGAGGAAGAAAGGGGCTTTATTTATTTTGGCCCACAGGACAGACTATGTGAACGGGAGCAGCACAAACGCCAAAGTAACGGCCAGATATACGGGCGGTCTCATAACAAAGTACTACTGCAATAATTTGTTTGTGTGACCATCTAAAGCCTCTCATGTCCTTCGGACCAATCCAAGACTCCAAACTTCTAGTACATGAGGAGTCATGGATCTCTAAACTGGTTGCAGCGGAAAGCAAATGCGACGTTCTAACGACTTCCACCTTAGTAATCATAGGGTGTGACACTATTCACGGTGCATGGAAACGCTTGCAGTTAATGTGGGATATTCTTAAAATCACCACAACAGAAGGTTTGCGAACGATGTCTACGTTTGACTTCACCTAGTGCCCGTGATCCACAGACAAGCTATTAACAACTGAAGCGACATTGCTGTGAACCTTCTAAAAAGTTTCATATTCAAATTCTCCTATTTACGTCCTAGCGTATCTGTCAAAGCTGATACCGCGATCTATCCCTCTCCATACGGAGCTGTTTGATCCTGTCTTTCCTGAGACCAGTGTCCATCGTTAGATCCTGAACACCATAAATGGTCAACAGATGTATATGGCCTGATTCCTGCATTCGGACCAAACGCAACCTCAGGTATAGTTGAAATTGCTAGGTGGACCAAGTTCAATACCTGATGACCGATGACTGGTGCGGCTGGATTGTGGTTGTTACCATTTTGTGCCGGATAAGCTGTGGTGACTGACGCAGAAAATGTGTTAAAAAGAGCGTCTAAAACGGCTCAAAAGGGGAGAATAATGCTGTATTACTTCGTTTTTTCGACTATCTGACGTCGAAAAGCTACTTTGGTTTACGTCTTGCCATTTACGCGTAGGATTCCCTTTGGATCAAGCACTGGTGCAATTTTTTCACAAATACATGTAATTAGCCTTTCTTTGACTGGCCGAAACTATTAAGAGTTTGCAGTTACAATATAGTCCTCCATTTTAATATGGCCAAAATTTGTCCAAACAAATTTATGTAACAATTATTTAAGTTTATAACTATGCAGCAATATCACACAAATACAATGGAAGTTTTCACCAGAGTCATGCACATTAATTAGCAGCACTTTTCAACAATCTATATCTTTCAACAGTTGACCTTCTACATTTCTGTGGCCTTGACACCTTTGTCGATTGATTGTAAGTGTCGGTTTTTCAGCCTTCTACTCTGGCTTTTAGCCTGCTAACGTAGACTGGTCGTAATGGCCGTTTCCTATCCTGTTTCTCACGATGGCTGCGATTAGTTATGAGCCGATAGAAAATTACTTCGACAAATTTTGCTCCTCCTCGACGTTTGAAGGAATTATTGAGTCTTTCGAAAGGTTGTGTGATGCGGCTAATTTGAGGAGTCTTCCAGGCAGTGCCCAATTATACAGGGAACTTCGTCAAAGACTTTCTTTTTACTGGAAGGCGGAGGCTCTCTTTACAAATTTGGATGTCCGCTTTGGTGAAAGTGCATATGGGGGCCAAACTATTTGCCATAATATTCAAGTAATTCTCGTTTGTTTTGGCTGGAAATGCGGAAAGTAATATTATCTTGAATATGAAGTTTATAGTTTCGCGCTTTAGTGATTCATATTGTATATTGTCTTTGTGGGTCCTCTTCAATATCTGTTTTGATGTCTTTGTCGTAGTGAACCATACATCCGCTATCCAATGCGCTTTTGGTGTGTATTGCTTTTTTGCCCCACGTTGTCTTTTAATCATACTTTTAAATCAACTTGCCTCTTGTCTTTTTCATAATGTTGGTGTTTTGATTAAAGGTCCTTGTTGTCGGCTGTGGTCCTTGTGGATTGCGTTGTGCCATAGAG